CGACACTTGAATATAGTCCAGTGAAAGCGCACCAAAACTTGAACATTTTCTTCATTTTTGGCGCCCTTTCGACTACATCTCTCGCTTATTTCATGAAAATCTCGATAAAAATTCACGTTTGCGCGCTATATTTTTGAATCGTTCCAAAATTTAGCATTCGAGCGCCTTCGGTGCGCATGCATTTATTCAAATGCCGGCTGCACCGGCGGTTGGACAGGCGCTGACTCCAATATATCGACCGCTTTAATTTTCGTATGAAATATTCGCAGCTCAATTGGCATCAAGCAGACGAGTACTGTAGAAATCAAAACTTGGGTTTTGCTGTTATTAAGTCGAAAGAGGAGGACGACGCTCTTGTGGCACACATGAAACGAATTGGTCGTAGGTTGATAGCGTTTGTTTATATTTCAACTATTCTTTGAAAAATTAACGGAAATTTGGTTCCCACAAGCGCTACTTTTATTTTAATATTTGTGCCTTTAACCCTTGAACTCAGTTTCAGATTTACCACTTTGGGTATATGCTCATAACATAGGAATGACAGATTACCTTTGGAGGACAACTGGAGTATCGATTGAACGTGGGTATACTAACTGGTACCCTGGTCAACCTAATAAATTAGAGAAAGATGGCGAGACTCAACATTGCCTAGAGATTAATTATAAGGGCCAATGGAATGACTGGTATTGCAACAGTGGCCGTGAATATTTTGTATGCGAATTAAGACCTTGAACAAATCATCGTATAACGTGCATCATACGAGAATTAATTACGATGTCCAATACAAGTTTTGCAATCAAATGATATATTAAATTTCAAATGAAAAATAAATTGCTTGAGTACATTTTCTTCACCCAATATCTTTATTCACCGATTTAAGATACTCCAGTTCTTACGAACGGATTCACCGAATTGTGATCATATTTTCTGAATATCAATGATTTTCACGAAATCGTCAGTTTTAATGAAAATTCCTAGCGTACTAGTACCCATCTCATTTTTGTATGATTTTGAACGGTTTGAAGAGAATAAACAAAATGGGAATTTGTTGAAATCTTGCAAGGAGCTTGAACATGCTCTTACATGTGACAGACAATCGGACATTGATGGTGATGACCTGTTTTGTGAACTCAGCTTTGTTGTAACTTTGACACAGCACGAGAACGTTGTCCACGTCATTGACATTTTAAATTCAATTATGAAGTTGAACATGGAAAATTCCGTTCCCAATGCTGTCATTGCATATCGTATTCTACTCACGAGTCCGGTCTCTATTGCAACTAGCGAGCGTTCGTTTTCAAAGCTCAAAATCGTTGAAAATTATTTGCGAAATTCAATGACTCAAGACAGGTTGAACGATTTAGCAATAATTTCCATTGAGCATGAAACTGCAAATGCGATTGAATATGACGATGTTATTGACGAGTTTGCGTCGAAAGAAGCCAGAAAACAACCATTAGATTAATTAAAGTTTTATATTTTGCCAAAAAACGATATATAATCTCATTTCCTATAGATTAGATTTTTCAGCTCATTATTTTTATCATATATGAAAACATAATGTGAATTTATTATTATTCGTTTCTATAAGTAAACTACAAATAAACTTCAAAATCCAGTTTTTTTACTTCAAAAATTCATGAAAAAAATTGAAGGGGCGCATTTTGATTTTTTGCACCGGGGCGCCGGAGGAGCTCGGACAGGCGCTGACCGCTTCCCCTTGTCGATTTTGAACCGTTTGCTTCGTCCAGTAATGATACTGTTTGCTGCTGATCGTGTAGTTCGTCTAAGAAACGAAACAAAACAGAACAAAGAAAACCGTTTAGATAAAAATGACAATGACAATGGCATAACTTTGGATTATCATATGAACAATGCACGCATATTGTTTACCTCTTTGCCAGTTTCGATGTTATGTACCGTTGTAGCGTTCCACGTATTCACACCCGGATCAGTTCCACCTTCATTGACAAACTTTTTGTAGTTTTGAACAATGGCCTTTTTGTCCGATTCCATGTTGCTCATTTTCGTTTTGTCAACATTAAATTGTAGAGATACGGCCTGTCCATTTGAGAGAATTCGGAAACGGAACTTTTTTCTACTGCGACCGAGCCGATAGATTTTCCGCATATCGAAGAATTCGTTCCAATACAACTCCTTTTGTTTTATGAACTCTTCGCGTGTGATGTTGATTTCGTTGTATTTGCCTTGATTTTTCGGTGCGACTTTCAGTGCACACAACAAAGAGTACAATGTCTTATTGTCCAACGGGTAGTGGGTACGAGTGAAACTGCAAATGGGAATCACTGCCAGATTTTTCACTCTCGGAGGCCCTTTCTCGATGTACTCATGTTGGCCTCGGTCTGTCGGCTGCTGGCAAGTGCACGGACGGTGATTTCGACGTCGGCATCGTTTCAGCTCTTGAAACTCTTCGCGTTGGCATCGGCGTACTTTACGATATTCCTCGCAAGTGTTGAAATCATCAATTTTCCGCTGGAGGGAAATCCAGAATGCGATGCTCTTGAACCAGTTCTTCCCATTTGTGAATTGGCCGATGTTGTTATCTGGTATGTCCCACCAGAATTTTCGCTCACGTTTGGCAACATCATCCATGCCATTGATTTCAATATCGTCATTGCCAACAACAAAGCAAACAAATACAACACCAAACCACAGTAGCGAATGAGTCTGTTGTGTTGTGTGAGATGGAAGAGATGTGTCGGTTCTGCTGTTTCTTCCTAATTCACGCGCCCAAAACGAAATCAATATACAAATCGAATTCTTGTAAGATGTTTATTCAGTTCGTTCGGCACAGAGTTGTTTAGAATGGTTGTCATTTCAAATGTTTGAATTTGAAAGATGCTGCTGATAGCGTAGTAGTAGCCAAATATCTGCACCAGCGGCGTAGCCAGAGATGAATTTCAGAGGGGTTTTTTCGATTGATCTCATTTTCAAGGGGAAGGCGAAATTTTCTTTTCCAGAGTTGGAAAACGCTTTGAGAGCCAATATCTGCTAAAGACTTGAAGAGGTCATTAAAATTGGAATTTTTTCGTTCGAAAGACGGAACAAATCTTATCGCGATGCACATAAATCGACCGTAAATAAAAAACTATGAATAAAATCGATAAAAAAATTCAATTACTTGCCCACGAATCCACTGTTAACGGGTTTTATAACAACAAAATTCTATCCAGTTCGCACAAATTGAAACGCTAATTTTTCCAAATAAAGAATTTTCTGAAATATGTACGTATATACATTCGTGTTTTACTTTGTTTTGTTATTGTTCTGCACTGGCGATTGTGACATTATTTTGCATTCTATTGATTAGGAAAGCTAAAAGAGTTAATTCCGCAAAGCATATCAAATGCACTCACTTATATAAATCGATGGAAATTTATTTTTGCTGTGGCTTTATATTTCAAAGACGTTAGTTGAAAATTAAATATTCTGGATAGTCATTATATTTCCTCAGTGTTTCTCGGTTGAATTTTCAAATTTGAATAGCTGTTCATCAGAAATATGTTGAAACTTGTATGGTATGGTGCGCTTTTATTGCATATTTCATTTGCAACGATTGTGACGTGTAAAGCAATAAATGTCGATGGTAAGAACGTCGCGAACAATTCTGAAATTTATTTTAATTTGCATTTGTTTGAACGGGACTGTTTCTATTAAAATTATAGATGATGTTAAGTTCTTGCTTATGCCGTATGTTGATTCCCTACTATTTTGGACAAACACAACATTGGAAAAACCAACATCGGAAAAACCAACATCGGAAAAACCAACATCGG